TATACAACAATACCTCCTATAGTCCGGCTTCAATCAGTCCGGATTCCTATAGTCAGGTTAAAAAATTCCAATACAAACTAAATTTAATTTACAGAAAATTGTTGACTTTACTAAAGGAAAGTGAATCAGTATGGTTAAATGTTTTGCAAAAAAAAATCTTTTTTATATAATGTAATAAACTATATTACAAAATAAAATTGAAATCTAATAATTTACTAAATTCAAATTTAATGGTCGTATGAAGGTCACAAGTTTATTATTGTAAAAATAATAATAATCCTGTATTAAAATTACATTTTCAAATATTTAGACATTAAATGAAAATGTTGTGTATGATTTGAAATACTTTATTTTTATAAGAGTTTAGTTTCAAGTGTAGTATAACAATATAATATAATCTATTGAATCTTTAAGTATGTTGTATGAAATATAGTAATACCTCCCATAGTATGGATAATCGATTTTCGGACTGTTTGAAACCGTACTAATCGAGGATTTAGTTAAAAACAAAAAAAAACTTTAAAAAGATATGTTTGTACTACATTTTAAAATTTATGAATATTTTGCTGAATTAAAATTTAGTTTGTTTTGAAAGGACTTTAGTGAATCCGGATTGCGAAGTACCAGGTATGTAAATATAAAACTGGAATTTACTCATAAATGGCACTAGCTGTCTATGTACCTAGTCAAATCGTGTCAGTAACGCCATTTCCTTGGTGACAAGTAATTACTTCATTTTTCATAAATTGATGCGCAGGACTCAACAGAAATACAAAATATGGAAAACAAAAATTACAAATAAACATTTTAAAGATTAGTTTTAACCCAAATCTATTAATTGTATTAATTCAGAGTTAATGTAATTCCCATCTACATGCTATAAATATATCTCCAAGCTAAAATAATAAACATAATTGAATGCATCTATGCTACTACGTATATGTAAATAACAATTGAATATAATATTTTACTCATTAAATTTTATACTTTGATGAAACTCACAGAATTTTCCTTTAATAAAATATTATATTAAAATAATTATATCTTGAAATAATAATTATGTATATATATATATTTTTATGTCGTATAATTTTATTCACAATCTGTTCATCAATGTGAACATTGAGTAAATTTACGATCGCGGTTGACATTAAATGGATAATCTTTCCTGGTGTATAGTTACCATTATGATGACTTTTTTTTTAATTTGTTGGTTGGCTGTCGTCTTGTAGGTTAAATTTAGTAGAATATTGATGATCTGCGATTCTATTATTTCCTTTGACTGTGAATCTGCTGGTATCCTTAACATTGTCATTGTCAATCGACTGGCTGAAGGTCCATATGCTGAATCTCATTCATTTGACTGTCCATCTGTGATGAACGATAGCCCTATTCCTGCAGGCACCGATAGGGCCTTGACCAGGATTAGAACCAGGACGGTTCGATCGTGGGTAGGGTGACTTAACCATTCGGCTATTAGTCGCCCTATGTATATATTTGAAAATACTTTATTTTTCATAAGTGTCATTTAACATCCGCACGTTATGAAATTATGACTAAAACAATATAAATTATGTAGATTTTTTGTTTTTTTTTTCAACTGATATTAGCATTAAATAATGAACAATAAATTATTTTTCATTTAAATGCACAAATATATAAAAAAATATTTGACAAATATAAATTAAATTCTAAAAAGTAAGTACACAAAATTATTTCTTAAACATAAATGTTTTTTCTCTGTACTGTATGCGGTCTAAAGTTCCCCAATCAGTAAGCAAGTTATTCTTGTAGATGTATATATAGCTTAGTTTATCAAAAATTGACCATGCATTCAAATTCTTTTGTACAACAAAATATGTTGTAATTAATATAATAATTTATTAGCACAATATACATTATTACATATACGTTATATTCAAGTAAGCAAGCAATATTTCAGATTTTACTGAAAAGGAAATAAACAATTTTTGGAATTACTGACATGAAAACATAAAATATTATGATATAATTGTTGAAATTAATTTAATTTCATACTTTATTAATGGTAACTCACAATGTTTTAAATCAGTATTTTACTTTATTCAAATAGTATTTTCAATAATAACTAATCAATATTAGATTCATTTTAAAATATAGAAATTTTATGTTTTTTAGGTATGTAATATTAAGCTTGTATTTATAAAATAAATATATCATTTAATTTATTTTAACCATATATTTTATCATCTCTGATTAACAAAGCAATTTCGTTAAAAACATCATTTTAATTGAGATAAGAATTTATTTTTTACTAAAATATAAATATTATAAATTATTTATAAGGTCTACAATAATGAACGGGAATGAAAAAGCGGACGAAAAAGTAATTAAATGAATAATTTTCCAATCTCTAACTACATTTTTTTTTAAAGACCACATCAACTTTTTCACGATTAAACCTGCAGTTAAGCTGCACTTGGAGAATGAACGAACCGGCATCAGATTACATAATCTCTGTAAAATTAGTTTCGCCAGTATCTCTAAAACGAGCGATAGCTCCTATTTACTTCTCTCGTCGTCTTAGTTTTTGATGTGCGTAATCCCATGACGAGCGTCGATGGAAAAGGGGGAGAAGATTCGCTCCGGGCCCAATTAAGTTTTCATCAAAAACACCCTCGCCGAGAATCATCAGCAATTTATGGAATCGGCACCGCCCATCCCTGCGGACGACCTTCCGCGATGCTTTCAACCCCTTCGCAAGAAAATTAAAAAATAAAATAAATCAAAACACAATTCCTCCGAATACTGCCGCTCGCAACGCTTTTGTATTTTCATTACAAAACGTACTTATGCGATTCCATCGAAGTGATTGTTTACAGAGCTTTTTCTTCACTTGAATTTTTTTTTTCGGTACACATAACACAGTTGTTTGTGTGAAAGACATGAGAGAATAGACTTTCTTTCAAATTAAATTGTATACATTTTAGACTGTCACAAACATTCGTAAGAAAATAAAACGTATAAAGACTGAATGAAAAATAATAAATAATACAGAAAATTACTTCAGAATAAAAAAGGTGCATTACTCGATTGTTTGTAGTTGACTAAAGTTAAGGAACGTATAGCGCGGAAAGTACTTAGGTGGATGACACATTTCTAATATAAATCTAACGAACTGTTTATAAATGCATAACTAGTATAAAATGCTGCGAAAGCAGTGTTTCTCAAACCAAAACTTACTGCGGACATGAAAATATCCAAGTATTTTTACGCGAACCGGAAAAATAACTTTTTAGTTTTATATATATTTCTAATACCGTTTAATTTAGGATCGCTTTTGAGAAACGATTTTTTAAAACGTTTTTAATAGGTTGATTAAAGATAAATCACTAAGCACACACGATTATTTACAATGATCGCTATCTATTAAATGTTGTAACAAATGCTATTAGAAATTAAAACTTAATAGTTAATAAATTTGATTGCTAGAGCGAGCGAGCGAGCTCAGTAAAAACAAAAAATGCGCTTATATTAAATATTTTAAAATAATATATAACCTTCTTTAGTGCACATTGCACTAAATTAAAAGGGAAATTGGTAATTCCACTAACAAGTAGTTTTGGTATTTCAGTGGGTGCGAGAGAGATAACGCATGACTACACGTTATCTCAATGTCTCTTTTTGGTTTGCATGTATTGATTTTGGTTTTATTTTAGAAATACATCTCAATAATTTATAGACGAATTTATTTTCTTATCCAAAATGTTAGGTTAGGTGAAGTTGCCCTAAGGTTTTATGTTTAAAAATATATACAAACAATTTTGTTATATGGGTATTTTCATATCCAGTGGTCTAGGTCAAGTTTCTGTAAGAGGTTTTTTTTTAAATAATATAAAAACAATTTGGTGATATGAGTATTTTCAGCTTTTAAAACTACAAATTGGTGGAGACATGAAAATACTTTACATATTAAGAAAATATAATAAAAAACTGTTCGTCATAAACCAAAATATTATCAACTCAAGCATTTTTATTAGTTTTCATATTTTCAGCGTAATTCAGATTATATGTTTTTTTCTAATCCAAATATATTTCGTTATATATTTATTTTGATAGTGGTGATATTATGTGCATTTATATAAAAAAAACTATTAAGTTAAAAAGATATTATTTTTTAACTATTTTTTTGGCTTTAGTGAAGTTACAGTTTCAATTGAATGATTTTGTTATAGAAATGTGCAACGTCGGTCGTATGATTTCGGTCCGCCGCACAATAACGACGATAATTGCTCAATCTGTTCGATGTACTTTTTAGTCGCATTGTCGATTAGTGGTACGTATTTTCAAGTAATTGTCACTTAATTGTATAATTAATGATATTGTTTAGAATTTTTTGTATTGTTTTAATGGAAAGTTATTATAGTATGACCGTAAGGCAGCTAATGTAAACAGTTATGTAGAATATCCGACATCTGCTTACGAAGGCCTGCAAGGGCTTATTTCCAAAAGGAAGGAGATTACGATGAAATACAATGTAAGTTGATAGCGTACAATGGTAATCCAGTTATCAAAAAGCTGAGTTTTCTAATCCACAATGCATTTATTAAGTGAAGTTTTTTTTTAATATTTAATCGTACTATAATTAATGAAATATTTATTTATTTATTATTGCAAAAAATTTCATTACTCACTGTTTTTTTAATACAATTGATAATTATTATAATAAATATACCTATACTTTTTTATATAGATGTTAATTGACTTTAAATCAGTGAATTTAGTATAATATACCACGTTATATATTTACAGCAAAATTCTTGCAATAAGTCGCCAACGTAATCCGATAGATAATTTTATTGGTCTCGATTTATTATCGAACCCCAAAATCCAAGCTAAAGTCGCGCGGTAAATCTCGCTCTGATAATCGAATCGAGGAATGGGAATGGTAAGCCCTCCGACGGATATTTTCCTTTCTTCTTCGTTCCTTTCGACTTTTTGTTTTGCTTCGTGTCTTTTACCTGAGTGGAAGACGGATAAGACGAGCAGCGAGCAGTAGAACAATTCCGAGAAGCATCCTTTCCTCATTGCGTATACCATAGCGACGGAACAAAAGCGAAGTCAAAACAAACAGTCAAACGGATGATGTAAAAAAAAGCGCTGCGCGGCACTGGTTCTTTCCTCTAGAACTTCCTTTTTGTTTTTCCTTTTTTGTTTTAGCTATCTGTGTACAGTTTTTGTATTTTCCGACCCGAACAATTGAAGTGGACGCAATTGTTTCCGATTTGTTTTTAGGGCACGACACACTGCTCGAATCGCGTTTCTCGTATTTCTTTTTTCGTGTGCCCGGCGGCGTATTAGTGGGCGTTGCCCAGGAGCAGGACGAGCGACATCCCTACGATCCCGGGGTCCGTGAGATACTGGAGATCCTAAACGAAGAACGGGTCCGGGGAGTGCGCGCAGCATCCATCCTCGTAACACCGCCACCGCCTCCCTCGCCCCTCATTTGTAGCCCACCCTCGGTGCAGGGTTACATCACACCCACCTCCCGAAAAAAAAAACAAACAAAGAAGAACAGAAAAAGCTCGAGAGAATAGAGTACAATAAATAAATAAATGGAATCGCTCCCACGAGAGGGCGCACCAATTAGACGCAGACAAGAGATACAGACGTTCACTACACGGCGCATCCACCACAAATATTATCTCGAACATCATTTGATGACTAGCTTAATTATAAAAGGACTAATTATCATTATATGATCTTAATATTAATCAATATTCTAATTAATTATAATAACCTTTATTTCAAAACTCATAAAAAATAAATACGCTTTTATAATTCTAATCGTAACAAAAATAAACCATGAAGACTAACTGACCATAGGTCTTCCACCTATTATACTAACATTCATTTATTTGTAAAAAAAAAAAAAAAAAACCAAAAAATTCTATTTCATAAAAAATATTTGGTAACTTGATGTCTAGCTTAAATGAATCGATGAGCTCAGCAACCACAAAAGTTCTTTTTTTTAATTTGCAGAAGGACAATAAAACTATTATTTATGAGGTTTCAATCTTCAATCCTCGAATATCCAACAAAATTATCTAATATTTTTTTGTTGATTACAAGATATTTTAGTTGCAAAAACATATTATACTTATGTGGTTTCAATTAATCCGAATGTTATTAATTACTCAAAATACTTTTTAATTAAAAATGATGCAATACAAATATTAACGTGATCATAATTTAATTAATTATTTTTTTATAATTTCTAAAGTATCATTTTTTTTATAATTAAAAACTACTTAATTAATAAACTGAAATCTCAAAATACTTAAAAACGAATTGACTTTTAAAATAAGTCAGATCAGATTATATCCCGTATAATAATTACAAAAAGATACAACATTTATACGTAATACTATAGATCAGCATTTCTTAACTCATGGGTCACGACCCAACACTAGGTTGCATTAACTTTTTAATGAGATGAGTCAATGAGAAATGACAGCTGTCATAATGTGTCAAAGCGAGGAACTGATGAAAATTTATAACAAACAAATGATATGTAATCCATAGTATAATAATTTGTCATGAACATTTTACTAAATTCATAAGAAATATATCAGTAACCATAAATTTAAATTACTATAATTATAAATAGTCAAAATATTTGACAACATTAGTAATAATATGATATTATTTCCTTCAAAATTTTGCAATGTAAATCATTTTTTGATGTATATAATAGTTTATAAAGTCGGAAAGACCATGAATGTTGGCTAGAAGACGCATTCAACACATCACATTTACATAATTTATTAGTATAATCAAATTTATTACTTAATAATAATTAATAAAATAACAAGACCTATGTTTTTTTATTGTATTAAGTTTTTATTTTGTATTTTTATTGTTGCAATAAATATTATTCTTCTAATAATAGTTTAAGGTGTAAATATGATTATATTATAAATTATTAATACATATTTTTATATAAAACTATGTTATAATATTTCTATTTAATTATTTAAAAAAAATTATTAATAATATATATTCAAAATTATATAATAACATAATTTCAAACGAACAAAAATTGTGTAAAATCAAAAATACTTTACAACGAGCTATTGAGCATAGAGTAATCATATCTTATAGTTTATTAGTAAACTATTTTCATTATGCATGCAATAGGTATTAAAACATTTTCAAAGTTCAATTATAATTATTGTATTGAATTATATATAAATACCATCAAGATCATTACAACCAATTTGTTTGTGATGGTACTGCAACCCAATTATATACAACTTAAAATTTGTGTAATTTCATGACCATCAAACATTTAACGTGACCCAATATTTGGTGGCAATTAATAGGTTGAGAAACGCTGTTATAGATTATTATATTTGATAACAACAAAAAGGTTGGGAAGCGCTGCTGTAGAATATATACTAGACTATCGCCCAGTTTTCGCCACTAATTTTATAATCCAGTTGAAGAAAGAAGCAGTAATAAACTATGTTTTGTTTAATATCCTCATAATTAACTATTTTCGTTTTTTTTTTCAATTTCATATATATTGATTGACGATCGCATTTTATTCTCACTCTGATCTTATAATAATATTAACATTATTAATATAACATTCAATATTAAATTGCAGTGTTGACAGAATATTTTGTTTAAATGTCATATTGAAAAAAAAAATAGAAGTTCATAAACGAAATTATAAATTATGTCTTTTTTCTAGTTAGAAATGTTTCTCTTATTATTTCCTGCCTTCTCTCTATATGTCCGAATGTAGAACAGCGCTGTGCCATTTTAAATTAGCACAATCCGTTTACCTTTAATACCGGCGATGAAATTGCCTGCAAGTCGAGTCACCAACGCTTCGGAATGAATTCAAACAAATAAGGACAAAAAATATTTTAACGAAAAACCTGTATAACGAGCATCGTGCGCTATGAGCATATTGCCATTTGAAATTGTGTTTGCAAAAGGCTCAATTTTAATTTAATAGGGCCACCGGAGTACGTGCATAAAAAAAGTATTGGGAGTGAGAGAGACAGAGAGATAAAAAAAAGGGTTGCAGGTAATGAAAGAGAAGTCGTGTGCATGCGTTTGTCTATGTGAAATCGATGTTGCACTGGAAACAACCGAAAATGCACGTAATATCGCAAAAATGGGTGTTGTTTAGCACACGAAACAAAAACCAAATGCGACCCAAAAATAAATGGAAAAGAGTGAGAGGAATTGTATTTTTTAACTTTTTTTGATAACCAAAAACTACATATTTTCACTTGTAACGTCGATAACACTATTGACGTACACAATAGTGAATTCAAATTGTATAAAAGAGGCAGATGTATCAATACTAAACATCATAAAACAAAACAAAATATACAGAGAAGTTTTGTAAGTTTTTGTTGCATTAAAATTTTCTTATAATTAAACTTAATTTCACTCTATCTATATTGCAAGACCAATGATTAATTTCTAAAATCTGTATAAATAATACTGATAGTAATAATTTTTAATACCTGAGCAACATATTGTACTCTATATCTTGAATCAATTCATCCTGTATCTGATTGCCTACGTTGATTAACGAAGGAGTATCTTAAATACCACAATATTTTACCTGTTTTAATGAAGCAGCCAATTGAATAGACTAACTGCTAAACTAATAAACTAATTGATTGATACTGCTTAATACTGTCACAACTGACTACTTGACAAAATCATAAGTATTTTGTTCACATTTCCACAAAATATAACTTTATTACAACAAGTAAACTACAGCTCATGCAGTTTGAGCAACATTTATTGCTTTTGGAAATCTTGGAAATATATAAGTAACAATAATGGAAATTTACGTTTTCTAATGTATCAAATCTTACATATCTTACCTGCCATATACAAATTCAGAAGAAAATTACCACTGGTTTAGGAAAGGGATTTATTACCCTAATAAAAAATAAATTTACAAATACCTGCAAAATGCATATATAAATACAACTTCGATAAACCATACACAGTTAGTTGTATTCAGTATACGGTGAAGTATAGACATTTAATATTGTCAAAATGTGTTACCTTAAGTTTGACGATGAAATTATAAATTGGGAGAAAGCACTGGGTTTGGATTCCGAAGATGAATTTTTAGAATATTACGAAGAGGAATTGGAAGACAACACTGAAGAGGTGTTGGAACGCAACATTGAAGAGGTATTTGAAGGCAACATCGAAGAGGTTTTGGAAAGCAACAGCGAAGAGGTGTTCGAACAGGACGACTCCGTAAGTGAGATGCCGGGAAACGACAAAGAAGTAGAATTTGAGCATCGTGATGAAGAAGTTATATTTGATGAGGATGGAGACATTTTACATAGAGATATACAAGGTATCTACTATAAGCCCATGGGATTTTATGTGGAGATCTGCGACGTTAACGAATCTTAACCTTCTAACGACTTTGTTTCTACATGAGGAGTTGATGCATTCAAGCGAAGTCTATTTAAGCTGAACTAATTTTATTACAAATATAACATTTGAAAAAAAAATGCAAACCTCTAATCATACAAATAAATATCTATAAAATTATTATTAGTATCATAATTGTGATATAGCTGTGGTGCTCACTCCAGCCCGCTAATATGACGTCACCTACAAGCCCGGTACGGTGCGCCCCACTCCAGCCCTCAGGTGGTATTCCAGGAAGGTCCGATAAGGGCTCTACCTGGTTAGGGTATATAAGCGGCAACAAATCTGTACCCGCTCTCTTTTTTTACTCACTTCCGTCCTCGCTTCCGCTACTCTTGTGTCTTAATAACATGTAAGTTTCTCTATATTATCTCCTGTGTAGTCACTGTGTTGGCTATCGAGCCTCGGACTCATTATACTGTAAGAAACCTTTGTAACCTTTATATCCTATGTATCACACAATATTGTAACAAGTCATGATCTACTCTAATAAACACATATACTACGAGCATCTCAAAATAGCTATCGACCATTTTTTTTTCAGCTTAATTTTTTAATATTCCTCATGCTTCCTTTAGCTTATCTTTTTTCGCATTGTGGCGCTCACTTCAGCCCGGATATGACGTCACGTACCAACACGGTACGGTACGCCCTACTCCAGCCCATAGCGGATATACCTGGAAGGGCAGATAAGGATGATACCCGCTTAGGGTATATAAGCGGCCGGATATCCATTATCGTCCTCTTGTCTCGCGCCGCGTTAGCCAGTAAGGTTCTCGGTATGTAAGTACCGTAAGTATGTAAGTCTTGTAAGTACCCTTTTGTATCCTGTATCTCTCTCTGTGTACCGTTACTTATCCGAATAAACATACTTGTAAACATCTCCAAAGCATTAATTATTTATTGCTGTAGGGGCAA